CACACACACACACACACACACACACACACACACACACACACACACACACACACTGGTCTCCCCTCTCCAAAACAAAATACAAAGAAACAAACAAAACAAACAAATACAGGCTGGGCAGGGCAGCTGCCTGGTAAGTGGAAGTCAGGCCCTCATTGCTCTCACAGGGCTCACGCCACAGAGAGCTATTCCCATTTGTCTTACCTGCCTGGCCCATAAGGTGCATTCCTACCCTCTCTTGAGGTTTCCAAAGGAAATGAATCACTTCCTTGGAAGAAACAGTATCACCTGCTTGGTCCCTTTGACCTTTGAATGTACACCACAATATTTGGCTAGATTAAAAATGTGAATGATCAAAAGAAAAGGACTTGGAAGAGGTGGAGAGGCAGAGAACAAAATTATTTTACAAAGGCAAAATTAATTCAGATTTTGATGCTGCCAGAAGCTGAACTCCTTGAGCTTCTGTAGCCTTGAACTTCCCAGAACAGGGCTTAGGAGGAACTGGAGTCCAGCGGTTGGTAGAGACCCAACTTTGTGGCAGCCAGCCGTTAGACTCTGGTTTCAATTTTAAACTTGTGGCTTTAAAGGGGACCCCCCCCCCAGCCCGTCCACCCCAGCAGGAAATGCTGATGGAGGGCAAAGCCTTGACCAGGGACCACACTTGTCAGGAGACACCTACGTCTGGTGAGCCATATTGACTGTGTCGACGGAATAGCCAAACCGCTGCCAGCACCAAGTAGGTGAGCCAAAACTTTGAGACCCAGGACCTTTTCAGGAGCAAGATCTGAAGTTGTAAAACCTCAAAGTCTCCCTTCTATCATAGGGAGAAGTGACGGGAAATGAAAGCTAACTTTAAGGTAAGCAGCTGTCAAAAACAGTAAATTCATGCCAAGACAAAATGAGGAACCAAATGCCAAGATAGTCTTTGGGCAGAAGATAAAGGCCTAACTGAGGCAGGGCACGGTGAGAGACACCTATAATCTCAGCACTCAGGCTGAGGCAGATCAGCCTGGGCTACCAAGCAACAAAGCAATACTCTTCTAAAAAACAATCAAAACAAGAAAGCAGAGCGCAGCACTGTGGTGTGTCCTGGGATCCGTCCCAGCAGCCTACCAACAACACAGACACCAGACCACAGGAGGAAAACCATGGGATTCACAGGAATGGGCCCTGGAGACCAGAGCAGGATCCCTAAACCAGTTCGGCATGGGATTACTTTCTTGGTGGTGACCACTCCTGAATTTTAAAAGTCAAAGACCAACGAGTTCCAAGATAGGCTCCAAAGCTACAAAGAAACTCTGTCTTCAAAAAAAAAAAAAAAAGTCATAAAACCAAGAACTCCATGTATTCCCAGCAGTTTAGAGGAGTTAGAAACAGGAGGATCAGGTCGTCCTTGGCTACATAGTAAGTTTCACGCTAGCCTGTCTTTTAAAAAGGGAGAGGAGCTGGAGAGATGGCTCAGAGGTTGAGACCTCTTCCAGAGGTTCTGAGTTCAAATCCCAGCAACCACATGGTAGCTCACAACCATCTGTAATGAGATCTGATGCCCTCTTCTGTCACGCAGGCATACATTCTGGCAGAACACTGTGTACATAATAAGTTAATATTTTAAAAAATAAAATAAATAAAGAGAGAACCTGGCAATGGCGCACACCTTTAATCCCAGTGCTCGGGAGGCAGAGGCAGGTAGATCTTTGTGAGTTCAAAGTTTCTACAGAGCGAGTTCCAGGACAGCTAGAACTACACAGAGAAACCCTGTCTTGGAAAAGGAAAGAGAGAGATAGAAACTAGTTTTCCTGGCACAGCTCCCCGCCACGTAATCCCCACCTAGAGAGAGTAGACGATGGGTTTAGGGGCCAGCGAGTGTGATAGGGTTGAACCCAGAGCCCCGTACTAACCTACTATGTTCTCCGTGCACACGTTATATGTGCATGCAAAGAAAGCTCCTCTTCTTTCCCACAGTGTAGCACATAGCTCCTACCAGCGTGCTTGAGAGGATGCTCCAGATTAGTTCATCAAGAGTCTCCTCGTCCCCACACCCGGACAGTGTTCTGTGGAATGGTGGCGCCATCCTCACGGTGTTGAGCATTGGACTTATTTCTGATCTCAGAGGTTACTGGCACTGCTGTAGTAATAAACTCAGGAGGGGGACTTTTCATGAGAGAAGTGTCGTCTCTAGGAGAAAAATAAATGGCAGCATATTTTTACCAGTTGCAGCCAATTGTCCTCCATATAAGTCATGCGGTGTCACAGTTCCTCCTGGAGCACTCCAGCTGCAAGGGGAGCCACCCTGACCCCTGCTCTGGGAAACAGCTTTACAAGGCTGCTGTGTAGCTGAGCTGGCCACACAAGTGGGCACTGATCTGGTCGAGGAGCTTCCTCCAGCCAAAGTTCTTGCTGTTTGATGCCATCTGACTTCCCATGGGCATTTGTCAGGTGATCAAATTTTAAAGGCATTTTCTTTTTTTATTTATTTTTATTGAGCTCTACATTCTTCTCTGCTCCCCTCCCTACTTCTCCCCTCCCCTTCAACCCTCTCCAATGGTCCCCATGCTCCCAATTTACTCAGGAGATCTTGTCTACTACCCATGTAGATTAGATCTATGTATGTCTCTAGGTTCTCTGGGATTGTGGGCTTTTTTTCTTCCTTTTATGCTTAAAAACCACTTATGAGTGAGTACATGTGAAAACTATCTTTCTGGGTCTGGGTTACCTCACTCAAAATAATGTTCTCAATCCATTTGCCTACAAAATTTAAGATGCTGTTATTTTTTTCTGCTGTATAGCCCTCCGTTGTGCAAAATTAATAATTGGCGGAGGAGGAGCCAGTCCACAACTGGTGGTGCCATCCCTGTGTTGTACAGAAAAGGTCCTGAGCTGTATAAGAAAGCAGGCTGAGCAAACGATGGGAGCAAGTCCATAAACTGCACTCCTTCATAGCCCTTGTTTCTGTTCCTGCCTCTAGGTTCCTTGCCTGCTTGAGTTCCTGCCTTGGCTTCCCTCTGTCATATGAACTGTGGTCAGGACATGGAAGGCACGAACCCTTTCCTCTCCTAGTTTCCTTTGGCTGGGATATTTATCACAGTGATAGAAAGCAAAGGAAGGTGGGGGGTGGGGGCTGGGAAGGTGGCTCAGTTGGTAGAGTGCATGCATGGCATACACAAAGCCCGGGGCCTGATTCCCAACATTTCACAAACCAGTCATGGTGGTGTACATCTGTGGGTCTGTAACTCTAGCACGCCAGATGTGGTGGTGCTAGCCCTCCAGAGGTGGAGGCAGGAAGATCAGAAGTTCAAGGTCAGATGTCCAGCATACAGCTCACCTGGTAAAGTGTTTGCCTTCCAAGCATGAGGACCTGAGATCTGTCCCCAGCGTCCATGAAAGTAAGCGGGGGATGGTTGCTCACTAAGAACGCAGGCTTGGGGACGGAGAGACAGGGCTGTCCTTGCTGTGCTGTGGCTGGCCAGCCTAGCCCTGTTTGGTAAATCCCAGGTACCAGAGAGTGTCCCCGTCTCAAAAACTAGGTGAATACTTTCTGAGGAAGTTGATTTCTGGATTTCATATACACACGTACAAATACATAGATACACACATACATCAAGTATAGATGAACAATCACATACACAAATAAAAATAGATCACTCTAGCAAAGGACCTGTCTTGGTGGCATTCAGGAACCCCAGCATTCAAGAAACAGAGACAGGCAGAGTTTGAGGCCAGCCTCATCTACAAAGTGAGTTCCAGGTCAGCCAGAGCTACACATAAGACACAATCTCAAAAGTAAATAAACAGTAAATAAGTTTGGGGTGGTAGCCAGGTATTGGTGGCTTACACCTTTAATTCCAGCACTCAAGGGGCAGAGGCAGGTAGATCTCTGTGAGTTCTAGGCCAGCCTGGTCTACAGAGTGAGTTCCAGGACAGCCAGAGGTGTTACGCAGAGAAAACAAACAAAAAAGTTTGGAGGAGGCAGGATGTCTCAGTGAGTAAAGATACTTTCCAAAATAAAAGTTATGTTAGATGAGAAAACAAGGGCTGGAGAGATGGCTCAGCCATTCAAGGCTAGGCTCACAACCAACAATATAAGATGAGAAAACAAATGAGGGTTGGGCTTCTATGGGCCTAGCAGCAGGTAAGCTCAGTAATGGAGGAGGTAGAGACAAGGGAATCTGTTGGGGGAGGCTGCTCATTTGTTTCCCAACTGCCCTAACTCGAAATAATCACACAGAAATGATGTTATTTAAATCACTGCTTGGCCAATCACTTAAGTGTATTGTTAGCTAGCTCTTATATATTAAATTAACCCATTTCTATTATTTTATATTTTACCATGAGGCTCATGGCCTACTGGCAAGATTCTACCTGACAGCTCACTTCTTTCTCCTCTGGCAGCTACATGGCTTCTCCTTGACTTTGCCTTCTTTCTCCCAGCATTCAGTTTAGTTTTCCTGTCTAGCTCTATGCTGCCCTATCACAGGCCAAAGCAGTATCTTTATTCATTAACCAATAAAAGCAACACATATACAGAAGGACTTCCCACATCATTTTCCCTTTTCTGTTCAAATAAAAAAAGGTTTTAACTTTAACATAGTAAAATTACACATACAAAAAACAGCTATCAAGCAATAATTTAGTTTTGATATTTGTATCTACTTTATCTTTTATCATAATTAAGGAAACTATAATTATAACTATCTATTCTTCAACTCCATCAAAGACTCCAGAAGAATATATTACCTAAGTTAACAGGAAGTGAATTGTTAGCATCTTCCAAAACTCTAGAATTGACAGCAACATCTCACTGCCTGGACAGTCACCAAAAGTTCTTCTGTAATGTTGGGGTACCCATCTTTAGCCTACAGGCCCATAGTATCCAGCAGACTTTTCCATGAAGTAGTAAATTTCAAAGACAGTTACACCTATATTGGCAGTTTGTCAGTCATTTTCTTCTGCAGACTGTAGAATGTCTAGTAGACTCTTTTTGTGAAGCAGAAGCCTGAAGAACTGTCTCACCTTCTTTAGGCAGCTTCAGCAGTCATTTTTCTGTGGTTCCTGCAAGTCCAGTCAAGCAGTCCAGGCAAGAGCAGTTTCTTGTCCAAATGGCTAATAAACTCCATGAGGACCCTCTTCGATGCCCATCATCCTCTTAACATAGATTGGTGCTGCCAGGAGCAGATGTGTCTCACTGCCATGAAAAGTCCTAAGTTCTTAAAGCGTTTTAAATGCCATATTCTGTAGGTCTTTGAAAGATTTGAAGATTATCTGTCTAACTGAAATATGTCTATATATATATATATATATACATATATATATATGTATATATATATATAAAACCTAGCTAACATGACTACAAGCTTGACTATTATAGATGACTATCTATTAACCTGTATTTCTTAATTATACATTACATTTTTAATGCACAATCACAATACTTTAATCAAGAGCAGAAATATGATGGGGAAGCTCATCCAATCACATTCGGTTTAGAGTGTGGCCCCCTGAGGCCAAGAAAAAAGGATAAAAGCATCCAGGTGTGCTCACCTCTCTCTCTTCTCTCCACGCTCCTGGTGTTCATTGGATCCTTGGTCATGTAAGTTTCCTTTCCCCAATTATTAAATCTTTTGTATTAAACTGGTCGCATTAATTCTAACTTATCGATCGACCACACCCATCATAAATATACATATAATAAAGTTGACCTTAAATTTGTATCAATAAACAAAGATCCAAACCAATGCAAAATATTCACCTTTATAGCAGGAATCATTGACTGTCCAGTCCAACCAAAATGCTGGTCTTCAAAGCAAGTTCCTGGACAGCCAGGGTTGTTAGCTGTCTTGGGGGGGGGAGGAAATAAAAATAATGTGGAGAGACATTGAGGAAGATACGTAAAGTTGGCCTCTGGCCTCCACACTTTATACACACACACACACACACACACACACACACACACACACACACACAC